GCAAATTTAATCTCATAGGTATCAATGAGACTTGGCAGAATGAAACTTATTATTGAAATACGGTTCTGGATGGAAAGACTTTATTCAAAAGAAGCAGGTGAGGTAGAAGGAAGTAGTGAAATAGCATCATATATTAAGAAAGTATTTTCATGCGAGGAAATCCAGGACCTGGAAGCAGGGAACATTTGGACAAGGAGAGAGGAACTGGAGTGATTTTTGTCAATACAGTATACTAAGAATACTAAGATCACATGAGCAGAAAGAGGTTGTGTAGTAGTGACAAGAGCCTTTAATCATCTAAGCCATCTACTAGTTCTAATATTCTCTAACAAAGTAGCTAATAACTTCCTGCATTCCTTTAATGATAATTTCATCCTTCTAAAAGTTGAGGAACAAACTAGGAGAAATTCTATCTTGGATCTGATTCTCACTAATATGGATGAACTACCTGTTAGCATATCAATAGTGAGAACATTGTGGAGAAGTGACAACTCCTTCCTAGAGTGTATAACAGAGAAGGTCTGAGCACAGTCTGATATGTAACCTAGATTTCAGAAAGCAAATTTGAATGGTTCAGAGGAAGAGTAGGTAGGATTCCATGAATTAAAACTCTTCAAGGACAGTTAGCCCAGTAGGGATGGAAAACTCTCAAAATGAAATTCTGAAGCCACAAAGGGAAATAATTTCAAAGAGGAGGGAAAATAGGAATTGTCTAAAGAAATGAATGTGGATAAATAGGGAAGCCACCAACCAATTTAGATTTAAAAGAAAAATATAGAGATGATGGAAACAAGGGCAGGTTTCAGAGGATGAACAAAACAGCATCGCACAGTCCTCTATAAATAGTATCAGGAGTGTTAAAATTCAGAATGAACTGAGACTTGCTAAGGACAAAAAAAGGAGTTGTTTTTTAAGTGATATAAAGAGAAAGAGGAAGATCAAAGGATAAGACTGATGCTTGGCAAGTGCCTAATTGAACGAGACACATCTTCAGGCACATTCAACATGTAGATTAGTTGTGCTTTATTTTACACTCATTTGTTATAAGGGCCTTTATTTTGAGGAGTAGAGGAGATATGGGGTAGAGTGGAGAAGTTAGTGATAAATGACACCAAAAAAGGAAGAAAAGTGTCACTGAATTAGAATTATTTAAAAATACACAGAAGAGAATAGAAGAAAGTTCAGAAGGGGACACAGACCACAAAGATCTGTGTTGGAACTAACATGTTAAATTTGAAATATACTTTAAAAAAAAGCTGTATATAGTAGAGATTCACAATTTTATATGTAGTCCCTTTTTCCATTCTTCTTTGTGTACAGAAATATCCATGTTTTGCTAACATTTATTACATTCATAATATATTTTTTATTTATATATATGTAATTTATATGTATAATTATATATAATACATAATTATATATAATATATAATAATTTTAATATATAATTTTAACACTTTTTAAAAAAAGAGCATCTAGTTGTCCTTGATGAGTTTAAGATGATGAACTACACCTTCAGATACTGAAAAAACTGGTGGATATAATAATGATGAGTTATTGTCAATGATATTTAAAAGACTGGAAGAATAGAAGGGGTGAATGTTAGAAGACTAAAGTAGGGCAAATATCACAACTTTCAAAGAGGGAAGAGAACAGAGTCTATCAACTATTGGCCAGTGAACTTCACTTCTTGACTCCTTTCAAAGGAATTCGTCCAATTCTGTGAAAAATTCTAGAATTGATCATTAAAGAAATGTTCACTTATAAAAATACAGCTTGGCTTCATCAGGAACAAGTCAGTTAACAAGCATTTATTATGCGCCCACTATAGGCCAGGCACTGTGCTAGGTGCTGAGGATATAAAGACAAAAAACAGAAACAATTCCCATTCTCAAAGAACTTCTCTTCTATTGGGGAAAATAATGTGTACATATAAACCTCTGTACTAATTAAATATAGAGAGAATATAAAGCAAATACAGGGTAGTTAAATAGAATGTAGGGCGGGAGAGAGAACATTAGAAGTTGTGTATGTTAGGGGGGATCAGGAAAGTGATGCTTGAGCTGTATCTTAAAGGAAATATTCTATGAGGTGATGAGGGAATGAATTCCAGATACAAAATATAACCAGTACAAAGGTAGGGAGATGCGAGATGAGAGATTAGCTTTATTTCATTTTTTGAAAGGGTTACTAAATGAGAAGATCAAGGGAATGAAGTAAATACAGATTTCAGCAAAGCAGTTGATAAAGAATTTTATTCTTGGGGCAGCTAGGTGGCACAGTGGATAGAGCACCAGCCCTGAAGTCAGGAGGACCTGAGTTCAAATCCGGCCCCAGACCAAACACTTGACACTTACTAGCTGTGTGACCCTGGGCAAATCACTTAACCTCAACTGCCTAAGCAAAAAAAAAAAAAAAAAAAAAGAATTTTATTCTTACAGAGAAGATGGAGAGATGCAGACTATAGGATAATACAATTAGAAGGATTCAGAATGAGCTGAATGAGTAAAACTGAAGAATAATCACTTACTGTTCAATGTTAGCATGACTGGAGGTCTACAGCAGAGTACCCTGGGTATCTATGCCTAGCTTTATGCTTAAGACTTTTATCAGTAACTTAAAATCATAAATGGCATATTTGGCAAATGCAAATGACACAAAGCTGGGAGGGATAGCTGAAACACTGGACAGCAATCAGGATTCAAAAAAGATCTTAACAGACTAGATAGAGCATTGGGCTGAATCTAGTAAGATTAAATTAAATTAAAAAATTAAACTAAGATAAAGTTTTACACTTTGGTTCAAAAAATCATCTTCATAAGTATAGAGTGAAAAAGGTATAGTTTAATAGCAGTTTTCCTGGGCAGGGTGGAGAAGATCTAGGGGTTTTAGCAGACTATAAGCTCGAGATAACTCAGCAGAGTGATATAGCAGCCAAAAATCTAATGTGATCTTGGACTTCATTAAGAGAGGCATGGTTTCTAGTAATAAGGATGTGCTAGTCCCTCTGACTTCAGCCTTGGTCGGCTCACATCCAGAGTACGTGGACACCAGGGTTTAAGAAATACACTAATAAGCTGCTCCAAAGGAGGGCAACCAGGATGGTGAAAAGCCTTGAGTACATGTCCTTTCAGGAACAGTTGAAGAAATTGAGAACTGTAAATAGGCCACAGCCTAAGGTTATTAGTAGGGGGAAGTATGATACATGTTTTCAAGTATTTGAAGAGCTGTCCTGTGGAAGAAGGATTCAGCATGCTTTATCTGGTCCCAGGGCAGAAGTAGGAGCACTAGGTGAAAGTTACAAAGAAGCAAATTTAGCATTGAGGTCAGGAAAAAAAAATTCCTGCCAATTAGAGCTATCCAAAAATAGAATGGGAAGGGGGTTCCCACTCATTAGTGGTCTTTAAGAAGCAGCTATATAACCACTTGTCAGATATTGTGAGGATTCCTTTGGGGCGTGAGATAGACCAGATAGCCACTGACATCCTTTCCAACTGTAAATTGTGATGCTGTGACTCTATGAAAGGGAGGTAGCACCAGCATCAAAGAGTACCTCTTTGTGTTCTTCTATTTGGTCTTGTGGATTTTTTTTAACCAGGGTGAATTCCAGCTCAATGTCTTTGAATGTGTTGTTCATCTGTCTGAGGTCATCTATCAGACAATTTTGCCTTGTTTCTTTTCCTCTCTGCATTATATCTGGACTTGAGCTCATAATAAGTTGCTGTGTCATATTTCCTATTGTCAGACTTTTATTCATTCATTTTCCATTTGGATAGATTTTTTGGGTAGATTTTTGAAAGATATTTGCCTTCTTCTTGGTATTTCTCTTGGTTGTTTCTTGAGGGACGTGGGAGGAGCCCAACTCCTTCCACATGTGTCATGCCACCAGCCTGACTCCACAGCCCTGCTGCCCCAAACAAGAAGCATGGGCCTTTTCCCCTCAGTCTTCAATAGGGCTAACAATTCTCTTTGAACAGGGGATTTTTTCCCTACATACTTTTGGTTGCCAGGGTTATGAAAAGGGAACTCATTTGGGGATGAAAAGTGAGTTTGTCTTTGGTGGCTATTCTCTCACCTCCCCTTTCTGTGTTCCTACCTCCCAGTTAACCATCTACCTCCTGCTGCACACTGGCTGTCCAGGGGCACCCAATCAGGTATGTTCTCCTTAGGGAGTTCCCTCATGCTCCAAAATTATCTTTCATTCATTCAGGCAATTGATCAATATTTTTTTCAGCCATATCCTGTGTGTTAAGTGTTGTAGGGAATGCAGATTTGAATAAAATCTGGTTTCTAACCTTCCTAAGTTTATAGTAGAGATAAGATATTGACATAAATACCTATAATAAAGATTATTTTTATATAGATGGCACAGAGTGTTCATTTCTGTCTGGAGTCCTAAGTGTTCATTTCTAGAAAAGGTAGCATTTGATATAGGTATTAAAGGGTGGGTTTAATTTCAAGAAATATGGGAGGGGTGGTGGTGATGAGGGTATTGTTGCTGCAGATTCCAGGTGGAGAGGAGAAGAGTAAGTCATCTAATTTGGTTGCAGTATGTATGGTATGGTAGGGTATGTATATAGGAGAATATAGGAATAAGCTAGTTTGACCCATTTCAAAGGTCCTAGATTGCCAGTGTCTTGCTCTCAACTAGAAGACAACTAGTTAGATGCCTATAGCTTATGTGTAAAATAATCCATAGAGTATTTCCATTTTAAAAGAGAGAATGAGAGGCAAAAGCCTTAACCTAATTAAGCAAATCCCTAAAAATGGAATTTCAGACCTGCATCAAGTAGGTATAAGAAATAGTTTGGACAAGGCAAGTTCTTAGTACTCTAAATCACATTTCTAGAGCTTTTCTGTTTACCCAGAAAGGCAACTTTGCTATTTTACTCCTGATAAAATCCCAACAATCCTAGTGAGAAATAATAAGATCCTTTATCTTTCATTTTTCATCTTCCACTAAAGAACAATTTTCTACCACTCCCCCAAAATCCTTTTTACCTCCAAAATTCGACCAAGATTTTCTAAATGTGGGTCTTGCATCACCATACACTGAAGCATTTCACAGAATGCCTGAAATGTCTGCCTGTAGAGAGACTGAAAAGTCACAAGGTAAGTATTACACCAGACCCAAGAGGTTTTCCAGCTTTCGAACATCCAGTATGCAAGTGTTATTTCATCATTAATTTATAATCACACCTCACTTTTAACCAAGATACATACTCTTCAGCTTAATCACTCATTTTATTTAACAAATTTGGCTCTAAATGACATTTGGTTCTTTCTAAAAGATAAAATACCAGAAATGTCACCACTGATACTCAGAAGAGTTTTATAGGTTATTAAGACAAAACAGATAATTACCTCTGTGTTGTATTGCCCACTTGGCATGACTGTTTGAAGTATATTTAAAGTCTTTATGGAGGGCAGGGTTATTATGCTTTTAATGAGAACATTGAACAAGTCAGATCTATCTTCAGACCCATGCAGTAAATTGACATCCTGGTAACTAGGAAGACAGAAATACCAGCATTGATAAGACAGAGGAATAGGAAAGATGAGAAAATGTACAATTTAAATATAATAAGTGATAAATGTGTAAAAAAGTGGGATAATTTGTTCATTACTCTGAGGGAAGAAATGTAGAAGTGTGATGATTTATCCTAGTCCTTTTAAACACCTATTTAAAGGCTGAAAGGTTTCCAACTCTACCTTTCTGAAAGAAGAGTGGAGTGGTACTCACCTTCATTTCATCCATTTTCTCAGTGTCTAATTGTTACATGTGTTTGTTGGATATGACCAACACTGGTAGTAAACAAGTCAGCACACTGGCTGGGGACATAATGAAAGGATCTATGTTCCCAATTGACTCTGGAGCTCCACAGTATCTGAATGTCCTTTAAAATCCTAAATTCCTTTTGAACTGATTACAGGGATACCTTAAACGGGATCAAAGACCTATTACCAACTAAATGGATGTTTCTTACTCTATCTTTCATAAATTGCATCTAGCCATAGTTCAAGTCAATTGGCTATGGCTTTGATCACAAATGAAAACACACTATGAAGGAGATGTTTTGCTGAGAAAACACACTGCTGAGTCACCTCAGGTCAGTGATAGCTATGAAGACTTCTTGGCGCACAGGACTGAAGAGAGAGTGAAGTGGTTCCTGTTGAATGAGCATCTGAAATGAGAGTGAAACAACCCAAGAGAATCACATCTTCAACTTGTCAGAAGACATACTAAGTGTAAAATCATTGGCTAAAAGAGTGAGAGATATAGAATAGGTATTTAAACAAAACTTTCAAATTTACTGATACATTTTGTTTTGACACAAGAGATACTTCCCAAGGAACACTTAAACCACAATTTCCTCTCTCTCATTGTACCCAAGTACAGGTTGTAAAAAAGTTCGTTTATAAATTGTTAACAGAAAGGGGAATGTGTCCTTTAACTTTGATAATTTGTTTTTCAACAATGACTTTGTATTTGACCAGTGTTATTCTTTCCATGTTGATATTATTTATACTGTAACTACTGCATATGCTGTTCTTTGAGCTCTTGAATTCTTAATATTTATAATTCCTTACAGTGCAATAGTAATATTTCAATATTCATGTACTATAATTTATTAAACCATTTCTCAATTGTGGGTCACAAATATTGTTTCTTGCTTTCTGCTATCACAAATAATTGCATGCTTTAGTATTACAAATTTTTTTGGTACATGTGGGTTGTTTCTTGCTGCCAAAAATGGTATGTAGTCATAGTAGAGGAATCTCTAGGTCAGAAGATATGCAGTAACTTTCCTTGCTTGCATAATTCCAAATTGTTTTCCAAAATTCATAGCTCTACCAACTGTAAATTAGTGTGCCTGTTTCACCACAGCCCTTCCATCAATGTGTTTTCTCATCTTTTCCAATCTTTACTATCCTGATGGAAATGAAGTGATACTTCATGTTTATTATAATTTGCATTTCTTTTGACTACAGTGATTTTGAACATTTTTGAGGTGGTTATTTATAGTCTGTGGTATATAATAGTAATGGAATGCTATTGTGCTATTAAGAAATGAAGAGCAGGAAGATTTCAGAAAAACCTACAGACTTACATGAACTGATGCAAAGTGAAGTAAGCAGAACCAGGAGAATATTGTACACAACAACTGCAATATTGTACGATGATTGACTGTGAATGACTTAGCTACTCTCAGCAAGACAGTGATCCAAGACAATCCCAAAGGACTCATGATGAAACATTCTATCCTCCTTCTGAGAAAGAAGTGATGGAGTTTGAATGCAGATTGAAGCATACTATTTTTCCCTTTATTTAATTCATGGTTTGTTGTTTTTTTTTTTTTCGGTTTGAGTTTTTTCCACAAAATGACTAATACAGAAATATGTTTTACATGATTGCACGTGTATAACCTATATCAGATTGCCTGACTTCTCAAGAAGGGAGTGGGAAAGAAGGAGGGAGGGAGAGAATCTGTAATTCAAAATTTTTTTTAAAATGTTAAAAATTGTTTTTACATGTAACTGGGAAAAAATTAAATAAAAACGAACTCCTGCTCTAGACCATAACCTGAAATTATTTTTCTCCTTTCTCCTTTACTTCTCATACCCAATTAATCACTGAGTCTTTTTTTTTAAAATTCTGAACTTAAGAAATAAAATAAGCATTTCTATAACAAAGGAGAATAGGAAAAAAAAAGGATTGCACATGAAACTGCAAATCTATTATGTACAACTTCCTTTTCCTTTTAAATACATAATAAAATTATCATGTAACTTTCTTTTCTTCTCCCTCTCCCCTACCCTAGAAATAGCTATCATTAGGCACAAATGTGTGTGTGTGTATGTGTGTTTGTGTGTATGTAAAGCCGTATTATACATAATTCTATTTATCAGTTCTTTCTCTGGATGCAGACAGCATCTGTCTTCATAGGTCCTTTGTAGTTAATTTGGGTATTTATAATAGTCGAAATTATTTGGTTGCTCAAAGTTGTTTTTAAACAATATTGCTGTTACTGTTCTCTTTGTTCTGCTCATTTTGCTCTTCATTATATTGTACAGGTTTTCCATGTTTTTCTAAAATCATCAAGCTCAGCATTTCTTTTAGCACAGTAGTATTCCATCATGATTATATACTGCAACTTGTTTAGCCATTCCCCAATTGACGGGTATCCCTGCAATTTCCAGTTCTTTAGAAATAGAATGGTAGATGAGTGGTACAGAGTAAATAATTGATGGGTATCCCTGCAATTTCCATACAAAGAGAGATGCTATAAATATTTTAGAGGATATAGGTTCTTTTCCTTTTTCCCTAATTGTGCCGGCCACGCCGTGCACTCTCCTCCTATAAGGAGCAGGCTGCCAAGGTCATACTACTTACCAGTGTTCGGTGCCCACCCGGATAAACACACAGAGGCGAGACGATCAGGAGGTGCCAACACTTGAGCTTTATTCAGAGGCCATCACAGCAAGGCCAAGCAGGAAGGCCAGAGCAAGAGAGCAGGAGCAAAAGAGAGAGAGAGAGCGAGCTCCGATCCCTACTGTTCCTTAAGTACCTATTTAGCCCCTCCTCCTCAGCCCGCCTACTAGTCATTGATTATAGGATCAGATACCGGAAGGGGATGTCTGGGTTTAGCGCACCAAGGGAGAGGAAGTGACGCAGGAGGCTAGGACCGGATACAGGAAGGAGACGTCTGGGTTTAGTGCACAGACAAGGGGAAAGTACGTGACCCAGGAAGTCAGGCCCAGATACCAGGAGGAGGCGTCTGGGGTCAGTGCTACACAAAGGGAAAGTACATGACCCAGGAAGTCAGGAAGGAGACGTCTGGGGTTAACGTTGCACCTAGGGAAGAGGACTAGACAAAGGAACTCGTTCTCTGCCGTCCCACTCCCACGTGGCACAGCCCCCTGCCTCAGGAGCACGTGCTCCGGCTACTTCCTTGTATCCTGTTCCTTCCCCAGCTTATCACAGCTCCACATAGCACTGCCCACTGCCTCAGGAGCGTGAGCTCTGGTTACTTCTCCGTATCCAGTTCCCATCCCAGTTCACCACAACTCCGCCTAGCACAGCCCCTGCCCCGGGAGCGTGAGCTCCGGTTACTTCCTAATACCCAGTTCCCGCCCCAAGTTGCCACAACCCCCACTTGGCAGTAGCCAACATCAGACAATCCCTCACACCTAATCATCTTGGGAAACAGATCTAATGGTGGTATTGCTGGGTCAAAGGGTATAGAAAATATAACTCTTTGGGCATAGTCCCAAATTGCTCTCCAAAATGGTTGGAGTAGTTCACAGTTCCACCAACAGTGAATAAGTGTCCCAATTTTTGTCACTTTCCCTTTCAAGCATTTTAGCCAATCTGGTAAATGTAAAATGATATCTCAAGGTTGTTTTAATTTGCATTTCTTTAATAATGATTTAGAACATTTTATGTGACTCTAAATTGTTTTGATTTTTTTCATCAGAAAACTGCCTGTTCATATCCTTTGACCATTTATCAATTAGGGAATAACTCGTATTCTTGACTGAATTCTTCATTTGAGACATGAGACCATTATCTGAAAAACTGTCTATAAATTCCCCCCCCAATTTTTGGCTTTCCTTCTGATCATGGCTACATTGGCTTTATTTGTACAAAACCTCTTTAATTTAACATAATTGAAATTATTCATTTTATACATCCTAATGTTCTATATTTTTTGTTTATTCATAAATTATTTGCCTGTCCATAAGTCTAAAAAGAATATGTTTCATATTATTCAAATTTTCTTGTAATATTTCCCTTTATATCTAAGTCATGTATCCATTTTGATCTTAATTTGGTAAATGGTGTAAGATATTGGTCTATGCCCAATATCTGTCAAATTGCTGTCTAGCTTTCCCGACATTTTTTTTTAACCAAATAATGACTTCTTGTCCCCAAAACTTAGGTCTTTACATTTGTCAAACACAAGGTTATTACAGTCATGTAACTGTTTGTTTACTCTGTACCACTCATCTACCTTTCTATTTCTAAGCTAGTACCAGATAATTTTAATAATTACTGCCTTATAATATAGTTTCAGATCTGGTACTGCTAAACTTCCTTTCTTTACATTTTTTTCATTAGTTCCTTTGATATTCTTGACATTTTGTTCTTCCAAATAAATTGTTATTATTTTTTCTACCTTAGTAAAATAATTTTTTGGTAATTTAATTGGGATGGCATGAACATATAAATTAGTTTATATAAAATTGTCATTTTTACTATATTAGCCCTGCCCACCCATGAACAATTAATATTTCTCCAATTATTTAAATTGATTTTATTTGTATAGAAAAAATTTTAAGTGTAATTTTGTTCATATAATTCCTGTGTTTCTTTTGGCAGATGTAATCCCAGGTATTTTATACTGTTTAGAGTTATTTTAAATGGGGTATCTTTTACTGTCTCTTCTTGCAGGGTTTTGTTGCTGATATATAGGAATGTTGATGATTTATGTGGGTTTACTTTGTATCTTGCTACTTTGCTAAAATTATTGTTTCAACTAACTTTTTAGTTGGGTCTTTAGGATTTTCCAAGTATATCATCATATTGTCTGCAAAAAGAGATAGTCTTATTACCTTATTGCCTATTGTGATTCCTTCTATTTCTTTTTTTTCTCTTATTACTACTTCTAGAATTTCCAAAATAATATTGAATAATATTGGTGACAGTGGGCATCCTTGTTTCACACCGGATCTTACTGGGAAAGTTTCTAGCTTATCCCCATTACAAATTATACTTGCTGATGTTTTAGGTAAAGGCTTCTTATCAGTTTAAGGAAAAATCCATTTATACCTATACTTTCAAGTGTTGGTAATAGAAATAAGTATTGTACTTTATCAAAAGCTTTTTCTGCCTCTATTGATATAATCATATGATTTTTGTTGCTTTTATTATTGATATAATCAATTATATTAGTAGTTTTCCTTATGTTAAACCATCCCTGCATTCCTAGTATAAAGCCCACTTGGTCACAATGTACAATCTTTGTAACATATTGTTATGATCTGCTAGCTAGAATTTTATTTAGGATTTTTGTATTCATATTCATGAATGAAACTGGTCTATAAATTTCTTTCTCTGTTTTTACTCTTCCTGATTTAGGTATCAATATAATATTTGTTTCATAAAAGTTGCTTGGCATAA